TTTTATCACAAATTAAATTACAAGAAAAAAATTTTTGTATTTGTATTTTTTTTAACTTTGTATTTGCTTGCATATTTTGTGATTTTTTAGGACTAAATCTTAACATAAAATATGGTAATTGTATAAAATTATTTGTTTGTTTAACTTTACAACCCTCAATATTTTACACTAATTTTTTATTAGAAAGTTGCTTATTGAATAACTTACTCTTTTAGACGTATATCTATAGTATATCCATGTGTATATCGCAAATAGCAAACAGCCAAAAGCATTCACCGACACTAATGTGCTGTTGGCCAATATCATACCATAATACAGCCAGAGTGAACACCTAAAATATTTGAGTATAATAATATTAATACTTAATAGGAATTGTGATTGGGCAATAATAATTATAATTCCATTAAATATTTTATTTTAGTAGTAACAATTATAATATTATATCTAAGGTTAATAATAATTATGAAGGAAGCATAACTATTATCAACAATTAATGAATCTATTTACAACAGTCATAAAAATGTAATTCCAACATTGAAATATGAAATTACTTACGACAGAAATCCAGTTACAAATGGAACTACAGACTCGTTCGATACTTTGCCCTTTTTCATGAAATTAGCACATATCAAACTGTAACATAAGAATATCAAAGTAAATATTGCAATATAATAATATGTCCATAAGCAACTTGTTGATTATCAAGTGCAGTTAACAAAACAATAAATAATACAAAAATTCAACAATAACCCAACATTATAATTTATAGATACCTATTTATGTACTTATTAATCGTACTATGATAGTGTTGTACTCACAATCCAGACAGGAACTGGACGCACGTGCATGCTGAAGCGGAAATACGCAGCGCATACTCAAAGTCATACCCGTACATTGTGGACGCAATAGTCGATACACTTATTCAGTTGAGGACTGGGGTCTTAAGTGCCAGTACTCGATGCGTTCCAACAGCGATACTGGCCGTAGTGTTGACGCACGCTAAGAAAAATAGATTGACGACAAACTTTGCCGCCAAAGTGGCGAGGGCGGTGAACGTTGCGTACAGAGTTATTACAAGACAGTAATAATTTATTACAACAATAATAACAACAACAGCACCACGTCATTACGGTGTACAACGAAACAGTTTATAACGCGGATTGTACGGCGCGTGCGTTTTACATTGAGACCAGTTGCCGGAGGCAATAAAAAATACGGTTCATTGTTGTGTGCAAATTTCGACAATTGTGATTTATGATAATATAACGTTTAATGCAAGCTGTGCCAATATTGACGATGGAATTGTATTACGTGTTTGTTTATTCTAAAAGTCAATGATAACAACGAAAACCATAACAACGGCGATATCGAAAATTTGAGACTACAACGAAAAACTTTGACCGAGTGGCTTACTTATCAGAATAAATTGCTGCCGTTTGCCGACTGCCGCCGAGTCCTGATAATGTGATGTTATTTTGTTCGTAAACGTCCCTTATCATTGTTTCGGAGAAGTGCTTATTACAGTATATTATGCTTACTCTTTAGTCTTTAATCTTTATTATTAGTTATTACTCTGAGTGTTTAGGTACTACAATAATATTAGGTACACTCTTTAGTTATAACTCTGTTCTCTGTCTGATTCGATGGTATCAGTGAGCTAATGAGCATCGACAAGTATACAGTATACAGTAATACAGTATACTGGTGCTTGGTGAGGAATAGCGGCACAGGTGGTGATGCAAATCATAGACATAATATTACTATTATTGTAATTCTAAGAAATATTCAAATATCTATGATGCAAAATGTACAATGGTATGTTATGATTATTATTTATTATGTATATTGTACATATTTTGTACGTATACGGTATACTTAACCATGACACCATTGCCTCTTACCTCCAGGCTTCAAACAGTACCAACTCGATGTGGTGGTGTGAATACTTTTCTTGACGTCACCGCTTACTCAATAGAACAGCCGATAAATGACAATCCGTGAAATCGTAAATGTAATTATTTGTATGAAAAATATAGAAACCTACTTATACAATACAAAGGGTTATAACTCATGAGGATCGTAAGATATTTTTATTTCATTTTTTTGTAGAAGAGAAATTTATCTATGATTAATAAATTGTCAAACGCTTTTTATAAGTTAAGAATTAAGATGAGGGTTAAATTATGTTTAAAAAAACAAAAATCAATAAACTTTAACTTACAAATAAAAAGTTAACACGTCATAAGGTAAAATATAAATTTTCTGATGAAAACTAAATACATTTTTTTTTTAATATCAAACAATTTTGATCTAGGAATCTAGGATCAATTTAAAAATGTCTAATATGACCCACGTCATGTACGAAATGGTGATGAACAAATCGTGTATTAAACACTAGATTCTATACTATAACGCCCTCTTAATGAATATTGAATAAGTTAGAAATAAAATAAATATATTTTTGTTCGATAACAGTATTTCAAAATCACGAAAATTTGCAAATTACTCTGGACTAAAAAAAAAAATTTAATTTATAATTTAAATATCTTAGGGTTACATGTATACAATCATTATATACGGTATTTTTATTGAAATTAAAAAAGTTAGGTAACCATAATTAATGCTACATCAATTTTTTTTTTGAGTGTGAATATCAAATTTTATCAAAATAGTATAGTATGTGTAACACGACCTACCAAAAGTATTTAGATAAACGAATAATAACACTTTTTGTCAAATAATATTAGTTCACTTTTAGCAATTAAAAAAAAAAAAAATCATGGAGACAAAACTTTTTACCGTTCCTTATATCTAAGATGGGAAACTGGGAAGGGTATAATTTTAAAATTGTATACTTAAAAGTTAACAATAAAAATGGGAAGTTAGTAACCGAGAAGTTGATAACCTTTCTGCTGTTCAGTAGGTGGGCGGTCATCGTTTCCGCCAAAAAGCTCGATTTCCGTTTCCGCCAACTCTCGTTTCTGCCAAAACGAAAAAGGTTTGATTTTCATTTCCTCCAAATCTATATTTCTACCTATATTATTGATTTGGAGTTTGAGAACCCTTTAAAAATTTTAATTTCAAATGTTTAAAACAGAGTATACATTCAATTTAACAGTTGCAACGTATGTATGCAAAAACCTATCAGTTGTAATATAAAAAAACGACTAATCCATACAAATAACGCAATAAACGAATACAAAAACAAAAAGATTTCAAGAATGACCTTTTAAAAAAGGTATGTAACAATTATTCAGAATAATAAATACTAAATAATTATTAAAAAATATTTGACTATATATATTTTATTGTAAGACAAACTCAATTTTAATCAACTTAATTTTAATATAAAAATTAAGTCAAACAATTGTTGGAGGTCAATGAGAACCTGCTCCTCGTGGTGGCCCCTAGGTAACTCTAAATGGTTCTCAAACTATATTTAGACAGGTAGATAAAAATAGATTTGGCGGAAACGACAGACGCCAGGGACAGACGTACAGGGTAAATAGATAAAGTAAGTTAATAATGCATGTGGAATTTGAATTCAATGATAAACCTTTGCATACCAAAAATGATTCTGTGCGAAGACAGTCGTCTTCCTACATAAGTACATAACTAAGTAGTAAGTACATAGGTACCTATACTTTATGATGTATTTATAGTATAGTAATTAATTTTACTATTTACTATACACTAACCTATAGTATTTTTAGTTAATTTTTGCCGAAAACATTGGATATATTATTTTATTAATATTTAATTATTATAATAGCATATGTTTATACATTATACCCATATTAGGGACGGTTCGTGGGTTTTTAATGAAATAGGCACATCCATAAAAAATACAACTTATATAATATATATATATGTATATTATAGATTGTATTAAACAATTGTTTACGAACATTTTCAGCTGATAATCGGAATATAATAAACGAGTGATAGTAAAAATAAATTATAATGGGAGATGCGACTACGACATCGAAAATAATTTGCTAAAAACAATTTAATTGGTTATTTGCACAGAGACGAATGTGCATATCAATTCTATTGTGTTGCTTGTTTTGACTTGTTTTAATTTTACACTGAACACAGAACAATTAATGTGTATAGCGATTGTGTATTTGTGTGCATTACTATACATACCGATACCATTCCGACGTGGTCAACCGCCCGTCCGCTTAGCTTTTAAAATAAGCCAATCCAAATTTTATTTTATTTTCATATTCTGAATTTTTAAACTTCTATTTTAAAACATTGTCTTAGCACTACAGGTACTTGGTTTTATTATTATGAATTATGATTTAGGTTTTAAATTTTTCTTGAGTTTGAGAAGGTAGTGCACGTGCACACTGCACTTATACGGATATATAGATTATAGGTACACGAACCACCACTGACACATTATTGTTCTTTGTTATTAACTATGTAGTCAATACCATAGAAGCGCTAGAAGTATAACATTATGTATTTAAAAAGTCATGGTATTTAATATTTATAACATATTTTAGTATAGGTAAAAGTTTCCGGTTACAAAAAAAAAAATATTTTATTTAAATTACATCAAAGTATATCATAATCAAATTATTTATATTTTATCAAAATTTTAACTTAAAATGTCTATAAAAAAAAATAAGAGAAGTAAATATTGGATTGTAGTTTTGTTAGTAGCTATGAATTTATGATGTCCCTATAACTACTTTTTCAGACGAAAATGTCGCGAAATTATTATATAGGTAAACCCTCATAGAAATTGGTTATAGTCAGAGTAACATGGTTAATTTTTTCTCATAACGTTTTATACAAGTACAACAATTTAATGTATACAACGCCCAGTAAAAATATCTGTTGCAAATAAATACAGTTGAGCAAAATTATATTATTTACGGTATGTGACACCCAACACATCTCTGTATTCACTATCCGTCAATAAATGCATACAATTATTATTGTCAATGTCGATAGAGAATGACAACTGTTTCGCTCATAAGGCACGGCGAATCAATCGACGTTTTAAGAGTTATAGACATTCACTCATCGTACCGTCCGGGTACGCAAGTATACGTCCTGAATAACTCCATAAACATTTCGTACTCACCCAGTCTTTCTTGGACAACCACTAGATCGGCTTCAATTTTTGTACATATTTGACGATTTTGACGATTTTAACCTACAGAATAGTGGAACATATAGCTAATGGTGAAACACTTATTATGGACCAAAGTTAAATTAATACTACTTGTATGACCAACTACTTATGTAATTCTGGGACCTCAAATGGAAGCAGTAATCAGCTATGTATATATTTTTTAAACTTATTTGTACTTCTAATTGTAGTAATTTTACTATTAATGCAGGTTGCTTGTTAAATAGCAATATCAGTTAACAGTTAAGTGTTAGCAGTTTAGCAGAGACGATATTTAATATAATCGTGATAGATATAATAATAACAATTAGTACGGAATCTTCTATTACACTCCCGAGCTTTTGGACCGATCAAACAATTTTTTATCGACATTTATAGGCAAAAAAAAATTTAAAAAATTAAAAATAAACCTCAAAGTGTCAAAGTATTTTGAAAGTGTTAGCATAAATGGAAGACGTTAATATAAATATTTTGTATACATTTTAAGTATTTACAGCTATTAGTTTTTAAGTTGTACCTACCAATAATATAAAATCGATTTTTTCAAAAATTGGTTTTATTGTATTATTTTTTCATTTTATATTCATTCAAAAATCTAAAAAATATTTAAACACAGTTTTTTTATAGGTATTTTAAACTCAAATTTTTATGAAATTAGATATTTAATTTTTTAAACGAAGAATAATGGTTTCAATTATTTTGTAGTAATTTTAGTATATTATTCGTGGCCCCGTGAGTTATTTGAAACTTTTAATGTGTATTCAATTTTATACACTCAGTAATATTTTAAAATTCCCTAAAAGTTAGAGAAAGTATTAAAAATATATTTGTAGATAAATTATTATTTTTTGTTAAAAATCACACGGTGCAACACAAAAGTTCGTTTAAAATAAACAAAACAAAATGAGAACAATATTAGAATGAAATTCGACTTATCCGAGCACCTTACGACGCACTGAGCAGTGGGCACCAACGAAGATTCCATTAAAAAATGTTATTATTTTTGAAAGATATTAAATGGTACAATTTAGTTTAAACAATTTAAGCATGTAATACAAACCAATGGTCCTGTTATCGAGCCTTCAACTTAAATTTAAAAAAGCGGTTATTATGTGGATGTCGCTCTGCTGTAAATTATAGGTTACAAGTGCAGGTTCAGTGTCACTGTAATGGATAATGACGATAGCGTTAAATTTTAAATAAAATCATTGTATACGAAAAACGATTCTGAGCGAAGACTATCTGTCAGCTTATAATATTAGGTACTTAGTAATTTAGTATATTTGATAATATTATTGCGAGTAAAGTTATTTATTTTACTAGTAGGCATTAGTACTACTCAGTAGTATTGCTCTGCTCAGAATCTAAAAAATATACATATTATAATAATTTCTGGGTAACAAAAATAGCATCAAAAAGGTCAACAAATTTTGTAAAAAAAATCCTGAATTTTAATTTAATAATTAATTATATAATTTTGATGGTAATATTAATTCCTTAAAAATTATAAAAGTACCTAGGTATGTTTTCCATAATTTAACTCATGAGTATATATTAATGCAAAATATTTTAATTCATTTTTATGTTTTTTTTCAATCTTTCACTATTATGCTTTGTTATTATGTAAAGATAATTTAAATATTACTTAAGTTATAACTTATAACTATAACAACAATTATTACACATATAAAAGAATACATATAAACATAATCATAGGCGGTCCTACGGGTGCAGCCTCTGCAGCCTGTGCTGCACCTGACATTACAACCACCACTTTAATTTATTGGTTGAAATCATATAACTATTCATAACTCATAAGGTAGATATTTTATAGTTTATATCTTTGTTATTTCACGATATATTGTTCTGATCATGAACTTAGTTGTTACTTTGTTAGTTTCAGTGTTGGATAGTAACGTAACGAAGAATACAAATTACTATTGTAGTAGCCAGTAACGCTGTAGTAATTTTATTATATATTATTTAAATTAACGCAATTGTAACCAAATTTCTTATAAAAGTAATTTCTTTGGAGCAACGTGTTATTTTCCACGTTATTAAAATAAGTTATGAATGTAGAGTCCATGACATAGACTAAGGGTTAAGATATTCGAGAAAAATTAAAAATCGGTAAAATGTATTTACCATTCTGAAAATTTTAGATAATAATGATGAATATTATAAAATATGCAGGCATTTTACGTATTTTATTCATGTGTATTACATCCATCCATTATCAATATAGTGTACCTACATAATTAATGTATTACATATACTACTATACAATTTACATATAATAATTAATAGTATACCTACTTCTTATTACATTCGGCATTCGTTATAGACTGAATTTGTCGTTAAATTTTGAAAAAGTAACAATTCATTACGCATTACTTTTTGAATGAAAAAGTAACATAACGTGATAAAAATAATGTCGGGAAACGCGAATTATGTAATTTAAATAAAAATATTTAATGTAATAAGTAGCCAAGTAGGTAACGTAATTAGTTTCTTATCGAAAGTAATTTACCTAACACTGGATAGTTGTTAGCTCGTAGATCTGATGATCAAGCCAGAATTAAAGGGAGGAAGACCCTAGGCTAACAGTGGTATCACAGAATAACCTAACCTGGTGGTATTTATAGTCACGCGCGATCACATCTATAATTATCATAATATGAAGAAAAACCAAGTTCGGAGGAAAGGAAATTACTATTTTACTAGTTTCAAAAATTATATGTAATAGTCTAAAGTAAATTATGGTTCATCGATACTCAGTAAATCTAACTTCGTACACATTCCCATTTCCCAATACCCCTAACATTTAAAAATTAACCATCTATGCTGCACGGCTGCACCTGAAGTAAAATCCTGGGACCGCCTATGAACATAATACATTAATATCTATACCTTCATATTTTTGCATATGCCGATAGGTACATTTCCTCGTTCGCTATTATATGTGTATTTCAAATTTAAACTATTAAGTATTTTTATTCGCAATTTCTGTTTTCAATTTATTTATACTTCTCTATTTTAGACGGATACTAGGTATTAATAGGCATTAAAAATACCGTAACTATGTATGTTACATTATGACTCGTATAGTCGTCCTGCACTCGCACGTTTTTATACCTCTATACTTTACTATGTCTTTGCTAATCTGATGGTGGACTGTATTTTTCGTTTTCCTATAGGGAAAATACAAATCGCAATCAACCAAGTAGATCAATCCAATTTAACGTAGCGCATCTTCTTTTCTACAATTGTTCAGACATTTTGTAGTAGAAGACGAACATATGATGTGAAATAATTACGATTGTCGAAACTCGACAGCAACAATTCCATTTTGTTCGTCCGTCTATGATATAATGATGTAACGTAAAATGTTGGTATATATAGAAACGACGTGGGTGTATATTATGGTGTAGTTTATTTTATATAGAAATAATGTAGTGATCCCGCCGCTACAGGTGGTAATTAAATGTGGAAATCGAAATCATACAGTTGGTCGGTGTGAACTTGTGTTTTGTACAATATGTTATGTTGGGTGGAGCGTGAAGTCGTCAACGACACTATAAACTATATATATTATTTAGCTTGTATAACCTTTGAGACGGTGTAATTAAATAATTTCGAACAGCACTACTAATAGACATAATCTAACTGTTGTTGCCGAGGGTGTATACTTGCGGTGCGGGGGGGGGGGGCTAATTAAGATTGTAGGATTAGGACTGCGCCGTATAAACGTGCAAACGCAACATGTGCACGAGGCACGCGTGTCGCTCTTTTTTCAGGACGAAAATGTGTTGGACGACGGTGAAGAGAAGTGTCACGCGGGTCACGTGTTTGCATGTGCGTTTGTGCGTAAAATGTCAAACGCAGGTATACACGACGGATATTATTATAACCTGTTATACTAGGTGACTAGTGTAGAAATTAGAAGCTCGTCACACCCCAATAGAATATAGTCTAAAAAAAATAATAATGTCCAGAATGAGGGGAATATTTTTCTTGGAACGCTATTTGTAGGTTTCACGATTATCGTTTTTCAGCATTTAGAACTTTATACAGAGATATAGGTAATTATAGTTTAATAACTATAATAATTAATAATAACAAAGTTACTCATAACTTACAATGCATAAATAAATGTGAAGGAAGGTACCTACTCGGATTAAGATCACAAATTGAGCTTAATATACTGGATTATAATATTATTATTATTGTAGTTCAGAAATGGTTAATGGCTTATTATTATATTAGTATAATCATCAATCTCTAATTAATTGTGTTTTTATGTAGGTATACATGTTAAAGAACAATGATCATGATTCATGGGCCAGAAGTACCTATATACGATACACAGCTTGGTAATGTCGTAATGATGTAACCATCGTTACATGTGAATAAGCTTATAACGATCGTATAATATGATACAATATTAGGTACGTATAATGAATTATTTCGATAATATAATTTACTATGTTTTTGGCAAAAATTTGTTCAACCTACTCATACCTATACAAATCTAGGCCCTAGTAATGATGTATCATTCAATTCAAATTTCACATTTTAGACATTAGACAACCATTAAATAATAAACTTAATGATAAGACACACTTAAATTCTGCTGCCTGCTGGCAGCATGCAGGTTACCAAATGTTTTTATAATTTTGTTATAAATTAAAAATACTAATTGTAGAAACTTGAAATATTATTACTGTTACATGTATTTTATATTATGTTATAGTATATTATTATATTTATGATATTGTACTATACATTATAATATTATACCCACACAATGACATTTTCAAAATATTTGGACAAATTGGCCTATTGGCTTTGAAACAGTTTTAGATTCTGTGTACAACGATGTGTATTGTTTTGTTATTGTTTCTGTCATAAACTTTTAGAACAGTAAAAATAATTAAAAAATAGTTTTTCACAGTTATTTATTATAATGATAGGTACACATTACAATTTGAATGATTTGTTGAGACAATTATTATTTTTATTTTTAAGTTTTGGGATTTTATATGGACGACTTTCATTTTAAAAATAACGAATATTTATTTTTATTTATAATAATAATATATTTTATAAATTGTGTACTGTTACATGATTTTCTTCACTGCAGGAGTTTACATGAACTTAAGCCTACCTGTTTTTTTTCCTAGTGAATATTACACTAGAAAATAATTTTTTGCCCTGTCAAAATATATTGAAAATATAATATAAGGTACCTCAAAAAATTACTGTTAGCATATTAGAAAAAAGTTATGTATAAATTCATGAACATTTTATTATTTTTATATGAGTCTTGAAATTTTTATGACATTGATTTTTTTTGATTTTTTTTTTTTTGACCGGAATTTTTTTACTAATACAAAAGTTGTTTTTTATATATAATTAATAGTTATAAGCATAAGCCATATTCGGACATACAATTATTTATATTTGAAATTTTTCATTGAATAAATAGGTATAAAAAAAGTTTCTTATTAATTGAGCCTCCACATATGAAATTGCCAATATTGGCTATAATAATTTATGAATTATTAATTACTTATTGGGACTTGAGTAAAGGTACACGTTTTCACATTTATATTTAATTACAATACACCAGGTACATAGACTAGTTGACGCAATCTCGTGCTCCCTAGAAAACAAGCATTATTGCACTTGTGCCTTTCTCGACATTAGCCAAGCGTTTGATAGAGTTTGGTACGAAGGTTTACTTTTTAAACTAAAAAAATTTCTGTCTCCCTGTTTATATTTATTAATTAAGTCTTATATAAGCGACCGCCATTTTCAAATCCGGTTTGGCTCCTCAGTATCCAAAATCGAGAAAATCTTAGCTGGAGTTCCCCAGGGCGGAATCCTCTCTCCCTTTCTTTTTAATATCTACACTTCTGATCAACCTATCTCACAGAACACTACTGTAGCTGATTACGCGGATGACAAAGCCATCATATCAATTGACAAAAACCCTATTACGGCCTCGGCAAATCTCCAAACTCATCTCAACCTATTGTCTGTATGGTACACCGATTGGCGCATTAAACCTAATCCCACTAAGTCAGTACACACAACATTCACTTTATGCCACTCCATTTGTCCAAATGTCTATTTAAATAACATACTTATTCCCACAGCTGACTCAGTTAGATATCTTGGACTTAACTTGGATAAGCGCCTCACCTGGAATAGCCATATCCGTATAAAACGACTTGCTTTAAACGCCCGTCTTCGCAGACTACGAACGATACTCACAAATAACAAACACTCCAGTTTAAAAATTAAAGTTCTTATGTATAAAACATTACTCAAACCTCTATGGACATATGGTATCCAACTATGGGGTACAGCAAAAACGTCCAACACAAACAAAATTCAGCAATTTCAGAATATTGCTCTTCGAAAAATTACTAATGCTCCACCCTTTGTTTCGAATTACACTATACATAATGACCTGTCAATAAAAACTGTGACAGAAGAAGCTATACGTTTCTACAAAATCTTTCATGCCCGGCTGCAAACACACCATAACCCACTCATTAAAAACCTATCCATCCAAACATTACCTGGCAACCCCAGGCGTCGATTAAAAAGGAGATGGTGCCGTGATTTGTTAGGGAACTAATATCAAATATAAAAATTATAAAAA